CATCGAGCTGAATCCAAGCAAAAGGTGATATTCCGAGAAAATAACAAAGCTGATGTTCAGAAATGAATCGTAATGCATTGTGCATGAATAGAAGCCACCAACCACTATGGTGGTTCAAGAAACCAGTTCACCAGTGCCGCCTATTATATTCTCCTGGATAGTTGATGTATATAGCATTCATGTATAAATAAAAATTAGAATTTTATGTAGCTTCATTCCAAAATTATGAACCTTCATTTTCTGAGGAAACTTTGTGCATTGACATTCTATACGGACTACCTCAACTGAACTCCAAAAATAGTTAAACCTAATCATTCTACTGATGCTGTAAACAGTGTAATAACTCATTTCTATGTATAAAAAAAACAGAGGCTGTATGACAGGCTGTGCATATCACAATTACCAGATGGGACGAAGTCGCTGCGATGAACCGTAGAGAATAACCAGCAAGCGGCTTCAGGCTGTGACTAACAGCCATGATGATCTTGTCCTCCAACCACAGGATTAGAAGATCAGATGGTATCTTTGGAAGCATCTAAAAATAATTTCAGCAATGACCATATGGGAAATACAGAACAGAAGCAATGCCACATTAATAGGAAATAATAGAGAGGTATTGCACAAATAAACATAGCATGCATCTACTCAAGTCTTGGTGAGAATACACGCTCATTCCATTGAAATCCGAGATAATACAGAGTAGGAAAAAAAACGAAGGCATGTGCCTGTACTTATAACTATTACAAAATAGCACGGACGTAATTTCCTTTTTAAATCATGGAGTAATCGATGGATATATATGGTTGCAAGAAGTAATGCTGTCTATAACAACTGCTTAGTGGTAAAAGGCCAAGGAAAGTAGCTTATTGTACATTGGCTGCTCAAGTCTTAGCAGTATAAAAGGGAATGATGCAATTACCTAGAGTGTTTGTGGAACAAATGGACCATTACAGGCCCATAGGACAGAATTGGTTCACTTGCAAACATACGAACCCAAATATGTAAGAGTGCATTGTATAAGCTTACCATGCAGTTTGGCCGATTCTACCGTCCTCATCATTTATGATAGCAGGAAAAGATGTAGAAGACAACATATTGAATCTGTAGACACAGGGGCTGACCTTTTTCTTCACAGCACAGATAGTTAGAATAAGTTAGCAAAACATTAGTGATTACAAAGTTTATGATCAAAAAAGAGGGGAAATCGGGGCCGCAAAGAGTAGTGAACATATTTCCATTAATTATTATGCATTAGTTACATCTTGACAGATATCTGGTTATTAAGAAAATACTCGGTTATGTTGTGTTAGGTCAGTCCACACATGTAAATGGCCTGCCATAAGAACAGTGCTCTAGCTCAGTTCATACATGGCAAATATTTAAATTCAGATCATAAATGTAGGTTAAATATAAAATATCAGTTGAGTAAATGGCCTGCCATAAGAATTAAAATGGCTGAAGGTGTGCATGAAAGAGAATCCTAATCCAGTTTGTGTACATCTGAGACATATCCTGAAACTATCTGATGACTACATTGCCTGAAGCAACAACTGAAAAAGTTTTTAAAAAATATTTGGAAACATTGGGCCAAAGCTGTATTTAGTGTATTTACATGTATGGCAGTCTTAGCGTGACAACCCTGATTCGTGAGAATCATAAAGAAGCATTCAAGTATTTGAAATTTGGAAGGTATCAATAGATCATGATGTAGGACATCCGATAAGAAGGATGGCAGTGACAGAGAACGAGCATTGCTACTTACCTCCCAACATAACAGCCTCAAACCTGTGAAGATCATCAGTATATATTCCCAAGTTACATGAGAGCTCATTTTCATCACATGCAGTACTGAAAAAAAAGACATCAGCTGCACTGAGCATCAGGGGAAAATAGCAGTTTCGGCGTGGACAGAGCACTAAAATCTGGAAGAGAACTGAAGTGTGAAATATTCTGTAGGAATCAAATTTGTATGACGAATGAATTAGCATATCTAAGCCTTCTAAAAAACAAACCAAAGCTAAACATCATATAGTAGTATATAGCTATGCCCCAAAATAGCATTTTTGAGTGATGCAGATTTGAGTGCAGGAAAGAGGATTGGATTGTTGGCAGGGTGAAGTAGGCCATCATTGCATATACCAAAGTGTGTTCATTAAGAATGCCAAAAAGGACCATATATATGTAATGGTCCATATCACTCCATCTGCCAAATGCCTCAGCTCAATAAAAACGGAATAAAAATATCATAAAAGACTGATCAGTCATCTTAACATATGCCAATGGCTGATTTCAAATGAGAGTAAAAAGATACAAAAGAGTGATAATCATGACTATATATTCTCATATGTCATTGTTCAAAAGATATTCTTTCAATTATCATGGAAGCTAACAGCACCCTAATGGGTGTTACCTGCAAAATCAAAAGCACTACGTGGAAGGCATATACACGCGTCATGGAAATGCAATAGCAGCCTCGGCATGGTACTGTACACTACAATTTGTGTCTAGTTTTATAATTGATCCAAGAACTTATCTCACAATTTTGTTCCAGCATGGCACACTGAACTACAAAAGAATTAAAATTCGCCACACCACGTTTGAGCATTAGGGGCACAATTGAATCACACAATGGAAGTGCCAGAGTTGAGTACAGTCTCACCATTTATCCTTTTAGGCGTAGCTGGTTGTCGTCCCGCAACAATTCTTCAGAAGAGTTGTCAAGGCAGTAGGTCACCATGGCAGGCTACACCTAATTTTCTTCAAAAGCCTATAACTGCAAGCAGTAAGACACTAAGAAGTAGCTGTGGTATTGATATGTATTTGAGAATTAGGCAAAGACAAAGCAGCAAGAGATGCAAGAAAGGAATGGTGCGAATACCTTCAGTTCAATAGTAATCTGTAAATTTTTTCCTTATAACCTGTAGAACCATACCTTCAGTTCAATAGAGGAAGAAAATCCATCTATTAGCTCCCAGCACTTAAAAACTGCATAATACAAAGCAAAGCATCCAATTGCTACCTTCACAGTTTTAGAAGAGGAAATAACATTGTGGTGCAGTGGTGGACTTGATGTTGCTGCAGGAAAGCCAGAGATAAATTATTTTTGTAACTTATTGCCATCAGGATCAAGCCAATTCCAAATGTGTTTTGAGACAAGAGTACAATGAAACAACGACATCGTTAAGTGTATCGAGAAGTTACCAGCTGCTGAGAAGTCAAACAACGGTGGCAGTGGCCGTCCACTTGGCAAGCAGACCTTGGGATCCCGCATCTCATCAAAGATGTATATAGCCGGAGAAGTCTAGTAAGAGGTATATGTAGGAAATCAACATGAAAGGAGAGAAGGTTTAGATTTTGTTTAATATGGACAGACATCATGGATTATTAACTATCATCAACACTTAAAAAAAGCAGGATACATAATTTTTCATTGTAGGAAAAATTAGCTGTTAAAAAATCATGGCTACCATGTTTGGACAACAAATTTACAGCTGCTTGGAAAATGGATCTAACCACTACATTATTTCATATAAGAACTGAAACCTTAACATGTTTAGGTTGGGATTTATTTTCCTGTGAGATAACCACCACTTTATTTCATATAAGGTAAAGTAACTGCAGGCTTGGCCTTGAAGAAGCAGGTACTCAATTTGTACTGAACTACTGATAGAAACTGTGCATGAGATCTAATTACCAAATTCTAAATTCCATTCACTTGGTGAAAACACATCATGCAATAGTCTCTCCAACTTTAGAACAAGAGGCAGCACAGTTGAGGGAAACTTACTGAGTTGCATTGGAACCTACAGTTTGTATCTGTCCCTGCAATATATTTATATAAATACAAATTAGGAAAAGCATTAGAAAATGTAGTTCTCAACTGCCAAAGAAATTGTTTTGAGGATCTGCCGCTCTAAAAAAACGCGAGGGAGAGAGGATCTAGGGGAGGAGCTATGGGACGAAGGAAGAGAAGAAGAGGGTGAGTCACCGTGAGATCCAGCCGCCGAGCTTCGCCGCCGCCGCCGCCGTTGCCACCGCAGCCGGCGACGAAGAGGGCAGCTGCCGCTGCACAGGCACCTAGGGTTTCTTCGAGCAGAGGAGCACAAGCTCCGAGTGGGAAGAGGCGTTGAGGAGCCCGCACGGAGGATGGGGGAGAAGGAGGGGCCGCCGAGCCCATGCTGGGCCGGCGCACCGCCCGCAGGGGCACCGTTACCTGGCGCCCGGCGCCGCCTCGCGCCCACCGCTGCCTCGGGAGGGAAGGGGAGAGAGAGGAAGGGGAGGGAGAAACGGAGGTGAGAGGCAGGCGAGGGAGGGCGGAGGAGGAGGAGGAGGAGGAGGGCGGCCGCCGTCGCCGTCGCCCGTGCTCGCGTCGGGACGGAGAGGGAGAGACAGACCGATGGGGAAAGAGAGGATGGAGCCAGAAGAATCTGGAACTAGAAGCGGAAGCCGTGGTATATATTTGGTTCTCCGGATTCAGACGAGAAGCGGGAGAAGAAGAGGATAAGGGGGAGAAGCTAACAGAAGCTCGAGAATCGGTCGTCGGCAAGAATCCGTTTCTGGAGCGTCGAATGGAAGATCCTACGGCTAGGAACATTTGGAAACGAGAAGCGGGAGAAGAAGAGGATAAGGGGGAGAAGCTAACCAGAAGCACAAGAATCGGTCGTCGGCAAGAATGCGTTTCAAGAAATTTGGAGCGTCGAATGGAAGATCCGACGGCTAGGAACATTTGGAACGACGTGGACGCGGTTTCTTGGCCAGGAGCTGACGCTTTTAAAAAAATTGTTGAAATTAGGTTCGACACATTCTGTTCTCTAGTCTCTGATCTCTCGAGGGAAAAAACTAACATCAACCACCATTTCATACGCCCCTCATCACATCACATTCACATCTTAGTTACGATCTGCAGCGGCCTTCCTCGGCGGTGCTAACCGAATCCGTGTTCGCGTGCTCGTCGAAACCCCGAGCTGCTCTCCAGCCTGAGGGAGGACCGGTCCGTACCCATGGCGGGGATCCTTGCGTGGGCAGCCGACGTGGTCGGCGGGGCCGGCGGCAGCGACGACGAGGCCGACGACGACGCGCGCGCCGCGGCGTCGGCCGCCATGACCCCGGCCCAGCGGCTCCGCGCCGCCGACCTGGACGCGCGGGCGGCCTCGCTGCGCCGCGCCATCCAGGACCTCCGCCTCCGGGTGCCCCCGCCGCACGTCGCGCAGCGCCTGCCCCACCTCCACGCCCATTCCCTCGCGTCCTCCGCCGCGCTCGCGCTCCAGCTCAACGCGCACTCCTCCACCAAGGAGCAGGTGCACGACCCTTGGCTTAGCTCCTTTTCTCTGTGTTCCTCCTCTTGGACGTTTTTCATCCCTTATTTAGGACGACAAGTCATCTTGATAATAATCGTTAATTAATGGGAGAATAGCAGTACTGAAACTAAGTTGGAGCAGCCCCATTTGATCTGGCTCAGGAGCGCAGTTCGTGGATCTGGATCCAGTTAGGTGCTTGGATGGTTCGTTGGCTACAGATTGTATTACATTGGAAAATGTAAAGGAACAGCTGTGCCTGTATGTTGTTTGTATATGTCCATCCTTTTGAATGGGAGATGGCAATATTTGTTAGGGTGCTGAGTTTCTCTAGGGATACTAGTTGGTATTCACATTTGTAGTTGTTAACGATATGCAAACAACAACAACAACAACAACAAAGCCTTCAGGTCCCAAACAAGTTGGGGTAGGCTAGAGTTGAAACCCAGCAGAAGCAATCAAGTCAACGATATGCAAAGTTTGAAAATTTTCTAAATCAATCAGCTGATGTAACAATTGTATTATTGGTGCATTAACCACCTATAAGGATGGGCGCAGTTCAACTGTATTGCTAATCGATTACTTGAAAGTTACAGTTGGTTTCTTCTCACACTAGGATAGTTGGGCGTTCATTCATGTGCAGATTTCTATAACAGATCCTCTAAACTTTCTGTAGACCCAGCAAAGAGAAGTAACTCTCCAAGAAGAAAATGCAGCCTATGAGAAAGCTATATCAGAGTGTAATCAGAAAATTCAGGAAAAACAGATGGAGGCCAGTCAGCTTCAGAGTAATCTGGAAGTACACCACCATACCATTTAACAACCTTGTTTTACCCTCATGTCATTTTCCATTTTTTATGTGTCTTATTTTTCCACTATCTAATACTCTTTAAAGCAGGTGTTACTAAGCACATGATGCATATTGCATGTTTTTTTTTCATGTTACTTAAGTGTCATCAGTTTTTCCTATTGTGAGGTTAGTACTCTCTAAGCATATGTAAGATACCGTGGACAGGAAGTACACTAAAATATGAAAGAACTAGATATCTCCTCAATCATGTGGTTTGTTAATGGTGAAAAAGATTTACGTTGAAGGTTGTTGACCAATTCTGATAGGTAAACCATGGTGATATTGTTATTGTTTCTGTTTGCCAAACTGCATCATAGATCCCTTGATTATGTCTTGTTGAATGTTGAGCAAACAAGCTTACCACCCTACTACTTCATTTGCTTGTTTCTTCAATTTGTTGTACACAAATGTTGAAAGAATGATAAATTTGTCTGAACATTGAGGCAGAGGCCATGAATACCCTAAAACAAAATTGTGAGTTTGTCTCTGCATCAGTAAGGAATTACTTTAAACTCATTTACGAGGAATCCATGTTGTCCTGTTCTATGATGAGTATCAGGAAGTCACAATCAGCCTGTGTGGAGCTTTCTAATGCTTGAGCCATGTATGTATGATGTTCATTAACTCGTACTCTTCACTTGAATGGTTTCCTTTGAAATGCTATTTATGTTTGCCTTTCTGCATATAGTTTTTTCCATGCAAAGCATAGGGCCTCCCCACACATCACTTTAATAGAATATGTTAAATTTTCAGGAAATTGAAGTAACAGAGCATAATTTAAAGACACAGCTTGAAAATGCTCTGAAGGAGCAAGAGGCTACTCAACATAAAGCATCAACAGCAGCCTCTGGAACAACTGAAAATGCTCTACTGGAAGCTAAATCAGCAATCAATCTTAAATCTAAAGATTTGGAGGAGAAGAAAAGGGAGCTGGTACGTTATCTTTGGACTCTTCTTATGCTCTGTGTGTTTGAATGCAACGTCGGAGTCTTTTTTTATAATTATTCTCCCCTCACAGGAACTATTGGATAACAAGGTGCAAACATTAGAGAAAGAGTGGTCTGTGGTTGAAGAAGAATCTTTAAAGAAACCCACTCCTGGTACTTTATACTTTTCCGCATGTCAATGTTTTCATTGATTACATGTTGGATTCCCCATGCTTATTCTTTTTTTTTTTTTGGCAAAATGTGATTGTGAAGGGGCCAAAAGTGCCTATGCGAATAATGCCATTTATATTTGTATTACGTGTGAACGAGAAAAGACGCCAAACCATGAGTAATATAACATAAATAATTCCAATGTTTTGCATCATATGAAATGCTTTTCTAATCACAGATTTAACTTTTTATGAGTCGGTTTAGCAATTTTTTTTTATTGGCCTTCTCTTTAATTGCTAAAGCCTTATTTAAAAAAGCCAACTGCTAAGAGATACAGTATATTCTGAATCTTGGAAGAACACAGAATGGTTTTATTTGTTTGAGCCTTGCTGCTATGTATACTAGTAGATCATTGCTTACTTACAGCACTCAGCACCCAATTTCTATTGGTTAACTTGGTAGGGAGAAGTTTTCTTTTTAAATTCTCAGTCTTGAAGGCATAGAAGAACTAGGTATTTTCTCTTGAAATTACCCTGTTATAAATCATATTGGTTCAAAGTAAACCATATGAGCACATTAATTGGGCATCCAGGATGTTAATGTCCTACATGGCTACACCTCATGTTTCTAAGAGCAAGATTACTCCAATTGTTGAATTTGGGTTTTCATGTTTGGAGGGAGTAAGATCTCTCCATCATAGAATTAGGGAATTTTGCATTCTATGACACTATTTTGAGGCAATGAATAGATGGTGTTGTGAACTTGTGATAGCAAATTGTTTCTCATTTTGGAACTTTAACAAAGTTAGTTCTCTCTAATTCATAAAGCTCCTCTAAGAAATCTTGTGATGCTCTGCCAAGGTATAAATAGGCAAAGCAATTATCCTACACTTTAGCACAGTTATGCCTGCTGCATATTTGTTTCTTCTTTTATGTGAATCTATGAATTTTAGCTTGTCTTCTGTTACATATGCAGCACAAAGAGAGAAGGTCCTGGAGAGACAACTACACAGCCTCATCGAGCAGTTGACAGCTAAGCAAGTCAGTTCTATATCCTCGGCCTTTGCGTCTTGTGAAGGGTAGCAGCTCCTACCTTCTCAAACTTTGATTCTGTCTTTTGCTCTCATGTAGGCTCAAGCTGAAATCCTGGCCACTGACGTGCATTCCAAAGAAAAGGAACTGGAACGGCTGAACCATCTGCATAGAAACCTCTACAGCAGTGCCAATGAAACTGGTGCACCCCGGAGCCGCCTCAACAGAGGCCTCTTGAGCGGCCCTGAAGATTATTATTACGACCCTAAAGGGGGTCGGAGACCGTACCAGGCTGGCCTTAGAACAGAAGGCCAGAACCGGCTGATGATCCTTAGGTCCGCAATTGTACTGTATGTTTTGCTGCTCCATGTCATCGTTTTCATAAAGATATCAGTTTGAGATTATAAAAAAAAGTATCAGTTTGAAAGCAGTTGTACTAGCACTTCATAAGTTTATAGGAAAACAGAAACTTGGTTTTGTGTACCAACCATGCAAACGTTTCTGTGTAAATAACTTGTATGTGAGTATGTGACCCCATTGATGGATTTATAGGAGAATATATGAAATACCCGCTGCCATATTTTTGTACTATTTCTCCTATGTTTTTGTAGAATTTCATTTGAATAAACTTGGTTTTAAACACCCCCTTTGGAATTGTAACTGATTGCTGTGAAATTTCTGTGCAATTCACGTAAAATTTCTGTTTTCTAAAAGGTGCTCTAACTGTGTTTGGCCAGCAACTGCTCACACTCAGCTGGTTTGGCTGGGAACTGGGCCACTGGGGAGTGGGGACTCTCCTGGGCCCACACGCAGAGGGACATGCTAATCCTCTTCCTCTGGTGAGGTATCGCGGCGGCAAATCCATTCCATTCCAATGGAGGCCTCGTCGTCGTTCAAGCCGAACCCGCTGTCGCTGAGCGTGCCGGACCCCGCGCTCGACCGCTGGCTCCGGGACAGCGGCTACCTCGACCTCCTCGACTCCACCACCACCGGAGGGCCGTCGTCAGCCTCGGCCCCCTCCACCTCCACCTCCACCTCCTCCTCCGCCGCCAGCCCCGCCGCCGGCCCGGCCTCCTCCAGCGTCGCGGCCGACGTCCTCGCCTTCGCGCGCACCCTCGCCTCGCTCCTCGCGCTCAACCCCTTCGCGCGCCTCTCCACTGCCGACCTGGCCGCGCCCACCCCATCCTGGTCGCTCGCCTTCGTCGGCCCCCCCGGCGCCGCGTCCTACTCCTGGCCGCCCACACCCACCCTGGCCAGGCTCCGCGTCCAGGAGAACGTCCGCCGGTACGCGCGCAACTACGCCGCGCTCACCATCCTCGTCTTCGCGTGCTGCCTGTATGTATTTAGTACTGTAACCCATCTCATTTCTTCACTTCCTTTGATTCTCGAAGCAGCTACCTTGATGAATGATGATTTGTGTGGGCAGTTACCGGATGCCGATGGCGCTGCTGGGGATGCTGGCCAGCCTCGCCGTCTGGGAGGGCGTGCGCTACTGCCGGGACCATTGGGGCCTCACCACCAGGGCTCCAGGGGTTGCCCAAGCTCTGCTGCACTGTGCACAGATTGGTGAGTATGATGTTCCTGCCTGCCCAACACTTAGATTGATATCTTTTTTTTTTCTCTCTCCTCTGAACTCTGAAGTGACAATTGAGATTCTGGCGCTAGCAACATCAAACAAGATGATTACATGCACGTCATTAGGTTGCAATTGGAATGAGTAAAATGAACACCTTGCAAATTCCAATACCTGAAATATTGCAAATATGAGCAAAAGAATTAGTAGCTCACTGACATAAGGTACGCTGCTATGAAATTTATTAAGACGACTAGAAGTGGAGCAAAAAGGACATGATTGATGCAATTTTAAGGTCAGAAGACCTGTAATCTATCGTACAAAATTCTGTCCGCTTAGAAAAATGTATGTACTTAGACCATTTGCTCTCCACTCAGTACAACCAATTAGTTCATCGAAAAGCTCTGAACATAACAAAATTCCGACGAATTCATGTATTACCCTATGTTCTTGAAGAAATTCTTGTTATACATGAATATTCCAAAGGACTAACCTTTTCAAGTTTCAACTCCCTTGCAGTATATCCTGTTCGAAATTTTTTACTTCCCTCCATGGGTCATATCCAGGTCTAAAGTTCCATTTTCATGTAGAATGGTATAAATGAATAACGGTATATTATGTTTTCTGTACCAACTAGAAAATGTATTTACTAATCGTGCAGTCTCTTAGCTATGGATTATTATGTGTTGCTTAAAATGTGGAAGTTATTTGCTGATCTCTCTTAATATATCAGAAGCAAATAAGCAATATAAGTAAGATGGGAAATACGACAAGCTTTACTTTCACTTATAGTTTTGTTTTGCTTGATTGGCATCCTGTATCTAATTAGGGGAAATCTTCTATTTGCCATCGTGAGGTAGCTTATCTTGTACATGCCATAATGAACATGTCAAAACATTTTCTTTCCGTACCATCATGAATATAAAGAGGGCAAACAGCGTCACTGCTTGATGAGAAATTATATGAATGCGCCCATCTATAACTTTGGCAATGTGGGAAACAAGGGTCCACCAAGGTGTTGCAGGATATTGCATTATCATCTAATGTTGCATCATATATTTGGTAGAAACTAGAAGCAATGAATAGTGTTCAAATGGGGACAGCGGCCAGAGTGAGGCCTGACATATCTGTGGTCAACTTCTAGGTTTTGGTACTTCTTTTTTTGCTTTGTCCCTGCATTTAGTTCCACTGCGATCTTGCAATTCGTCATGAGTTATTTAAAGATCTCAAATATCACACTATTTAGAAATCTTAGCAGATTGAAGTGGCCACCTGATTCTTCTCCCTGCCTTAATAAGCATTAAATGGACTGGTAAACACTTTGCTGCCGTGGCAATTTCTTATAGATGGAATATATTTATATTTATGTGCATGTAACACGCCCATTTATGTCTCAGTAACATGTTCATGATATGCTCCTCCATGTTTCTAAATACAAGCATGGTGTTTAGGACAAGCTAATTAAGTCAACTTCTAGGCTTTACTTCTCTTTTTTTCTTTTTCCCTGCCTTTAGTTTCACTATCTAGTAGAATATCATGAGTTATTTAAAGATCTCAAAATATCACACTATTTTTTTAGAATTATAAATATCACACTATTTAGAAAATTTAGCATCTAAACTTGTACCCGATTCTTGTCCCTTATTGTGGGTTGGGTGAGAGGGGGTGTTGGTCTGCTAAATCTGCTGGACCTGGGGTAGCTCGGCATGATGGCTGCAACCCCTTCAGAGATGCACTAGACAGCTGTGTGACCTGAGACAGGAATCATCCTGCTCACAAGTAATCTGGATCATGTGCTCTTAGGAGGAAAAGTACAGTATTTAAAAAAATTAGTAACTATACTTTGGTTCCCTTTTCTTTTGTGTTTGTGTTTTGGATTTATTATGCACTATTAAGAAAAATTCAAGATTCTCGTATGCCCCCTACTAATCTGTTATTCTGTTTGATACTTTGATATAATCCACCCTTCTTAAATCTTTTTAATCAAAGGACAAAGAGATTGATTCTTGTGAAGTGTATCATACATCTAACGAGTTAAGGCCTTAAGGGCACTTCAGGAAGATGAAGCTATGCTACTTATTGAAACCCCATGACATCAAACCAAAAAGAAGAAAAAACACATTTTCTATTTTAGAACATCAAATAAAGTTGCCCTTTAGGCCACCAAGATTCCACTAGAACTGAGGCACTGAGCTGGAACGCAACCCAGCTGGCTATCGGTTATGTGTCTTAGTGTTCCTTCCAGCCAATTATATTCATCTTTATAGTCTTCTTTCACAACTTTGTATTTTTGTACAACAACAACAACAACAACTTTGTATTTTTGTATTTTTCTTAAATAACTTTAACTGTAGTATAAGTAACTTTGTTTGTGCAGTGTTCCAGAAACTGTTATGGTATGAATGTTCTTCTTTTTTTTGAATTGAATTGGGTGGAAATCTATAAAAGCTTGGCAGATAGACTCCTTTCCCACTGCTTTGGGATAGCAAAGAACTCCATTAAATGATTGTTTTTCACTAGCGCTCTTTTTTTCTTTGAGGGTACCAAGAGTCCCCTCACTAGCATCCTGCAGACATCATCATTTGGCTGGGTCTTGCCAGTAACCTGTTCCATACCACCAGAAATAACTGGAACCAGGGATAACCTGCTAGTTACTCTGGCTAACCATGCCTTTAGAGGGAAATGGTAGGAAATATTGGCCTGACAGGCTTTAGATTCTCCTTGCAATATTTCTGTAGGAGAAAATGGTAGCCATTGGTAACCTGGCTGTTACTGGTGTCAGCTATTATTTTTTTGGTATTTCTTCTTTTCATGTATATGTTTTTTTATTACTGCTAGGAAATAGAGTGCAGTGTACAAGTTTCTGTACTATATGCTCGTCACCACACATTCCGCTCATGCCATGTAACTGCTCTATGTTAAGGCATGATTTGAGAGACTTCAAACTTTTAATTAACACAGTGCTAGGTTTTCCATTGGTTTTTTACCCTAATGTCGCACATTTTCAGATTTAAGGTTTTATCCCCTGAGTCAGCTTTAAGGTTTTATCCCATTACTCATGCCTGTCATATTGTGATGACTAATGACTAGTTGATTTGTTTCTTAACAGCTACTGCTATACTACTGTACGTCTGCAACCTACAGTTTGCTCTCGTGTACGCCATCGGATTGAGCTATGCGTGTAAGTGACCTCCAGGTTCTGTCCCATTCCTTGTCATTTCCTCTGGTTCTCAGGAGCAACATGGTGCACTATGCCTATGTTCTGCAGTGATGATGTTACACGCCTCCCTCCGGAAGTTGACCCCCTCAAGTCTACGAGATCCCAGTAATAAGAACAGGAGGGCACAACCGAGACGGAGCTAGGTTACATGCCGGGCAGTACAGGCCTACAGGCGATGTTCATGGTTGTCTAGGACATGGGATCGAGATGATGCATGGTTGATGGTTCCAAAAACGTCTTCTGGTTATTGGAACAGTGGTACATTCTGAGGCGGCGAGCATGGACGAGTGTAGAATACGGCCATCAGGGATATAATGCTATCATACCGTCATGAAAACTCGAAGAGGCATACACTTGTATATTTTTCAGAAAGATAACCAAATGGTATTTCATTTTATTCTTGCCGTCTTGGGTTGATGCGTGCAATCCATTCGCTGGAAGACATCTTTGTACAGTCCTGTCTTTGTTGTATGTACTGGTTCATGGGGGCCATGGCCAGACGACCCACAAATGGCAGAGCATCGCATTCATTTCACACTCACCTTTGTTCTTGGCCGACCCAAACACATCACATTTTTTTTTATTACAGATGAGAGAGAAATCTATGCACCGGAAGTTCCGGGTGATCGGCATTTGTAGCACTCATTGATTATTATTATTATCATGACCTTGAGCCTACCAAGGTTTTGTTTTGGCTCAGCCAAGAAGTGCACCTACGATTCTCACTTGCCATTTCATTTGCATTATTATTGCATAGCACATCATCACACGACACGACAATATAGCTGGTGAACCTCTGTCAACAAAACACGCTAAGAACAACTCATTACTACTACTTCCAACGCCCAGAAATGACAAGCATATTTGGTCATAGTAAGTAGGTCTGGTCCTTAATTTTTCTTACAATAAAATTTAACTAATTGTTGATCAAAATTTATATTCTCTCTTGTCAAATATAATTATTATTTCTGGACGGAAGGGTAAATCTCAGAGTAAATGTATTATTTACACGTTTGCTTGATGCACCATAACCGTCATTATTCCGTCAACCAGATTCTAGAAACCACAAACCACTCATCGGATGAATTTCCAGCTGGATACCGACACGTGTTGACACAGAATGCACTCGTGCCTACACAACCTTTTCTTTTTCACGTGTCCCTCGAGAGCACACGAACAAGCATCATCGACCACTTACCTGTCTTTCCAACGCATTCTTTTCTTTTCTTTAATCCCAAAAAGCCCAAATATACGATGCCATCATTTTCTGATCACACTTTAGGTTCAGGCATTTCCGTAAAATCATGGATGCAAATTTGGCCCTGCCGGAACATGTAAGAGTGTGTACAATACGTCCATCAGGATACTGTGTCTTGAGTCAGCAAAGGCATACACGCTATCTTTTTCTTTATATATGGAATGAATGAATAAATAAATAAATAGTCTTGTTTTTTATTTTATTTGTTTGGTTGTATCCGGCAACCAATTCAGTCGAAGCCATTTTCTTTGTTTTTTATTTATGATTTACACGTTACAAATGCGACGTCCATAAATATGTATGTATACTCACTCTTATAAATTGATGTATGTAGACCCTAGTTTTATAAGTACCTCCAAATAACTGAGCTGGTAGATTTTAAAATTAACAAAATTATCATAGACACCTCGCTCTCAATCGACACATCATCTCGCACTGAAAGAATAACATCCTTAAATAGCTCGTGCACAAAGGGCCCGAGAGCATCACATTCATTTCACACACTTGATCTTTATTCCTTGGCCCATGGAGCAATCGTGTTGCGTGTGCCGTGCCCACACAAGGAATTCCTGTGCGTCCCTGGCTCCCCATGTGACCAAGATTCTCCCCAAAGTCATCACAGTTTTTGGGCTCCAGGGGAAACAAATCCATGCACGCAACTTTTGTTGAAAGATATGAGCATCTTGTTGACTATTCTCTGTCGATGATGTACTGTGCTGTGCAATTGTCTTGGGAATTTTAGGTTCTTGTCACTAATGGCATGTCACATGTAATGGTTAAGGGAGGTTAAAAACTTGTCTTGTGATAGTTGGGGGATGGGAAAATGAAAGGATGGTGGAGAAAATTATATAGAGCTTCTAGAAAACCATTGCCCTTTTATTTCTCGTGCTTTTTAGTACAAGAACTCCTTTTCAAGTTAGCCAAGTAGATCTTTTCAAGACAAAGAAGGTTAGGCAAGCAAGAATGCAAGATGGTATAAGACTTGCACGCTCATTTTTTTTGTAGGAAAATCTATGGACAAAACACATCGAATAAATTTTAGCAGATATTTGTAAATTCATTTGTAGATATTTCATGATTGATCAAGAAAAAAAAACAAGTAGGTTAGTTTTAATGTTTCTTGTTACCTTCGTAAGCTAGGTATGCCACGGTGAGTTAAAAATGCATGGTTATAATTAGATTTTGTGTTATTATCACTCCTACATCACATATTTGAAAAATTCCTAAAACCTACACAAGAGGACAAACACAGACCATTGGATCCTATCTATGATTCACATCATCCCCTACTTCGCATAAATTCCATGTACTAGAATATATAGGCCTATTCCAATCATTAGCTACCTACTCCCTAAAAAAACGCTATCTTATAAATTTTTGCTATGGATGTCCTAAATCGTATACACTAGCTTTCCCAATGCCACAATCAACCTTACGGAGCCACATTTGCCATTAATTGTTGATGATGACCCTGTTATCTAGGTCAAGAGCCAAGTAATTAAACTAGCAAAGAAAATACAAATATCATGCCATTGCCCTTTTGTTTTGGTCTTGATGTTCCTTTTCATTTAGTACTCCCTCCGATTTTTCTTTGTTTGACGCCAATTAGATGGAAATTGAACTAACCATCTTCATACATATAAGAATGGAGGTAGTATATAGGAAGGTGAGGATCTCCATACTTTAACTGAAAGATGTGAGCACCTTGTTGATTGTGTACTCTCTCGTGATGATGTACTACTATGCAAAATCTCTTGAGAATTTTAGGTTCCTGTCACTAATGACATGTCTCATGTGATATTTAAGGGAGGTTAAAAGCTTTTAATGTGGTAGTTAAGGGAGTGAGACATTGAAAGGATGGTGGAGAAAATGATGTAGATCTTCTAGAAAGAGTTGGGCCATTTTATTTCTCATTCTTCTTTGTACAAGTCCTCTTCAAGTTAGGCCAAGCAAGTACTCTCAAGAAAGAAATAAGTTAGGCAAAGGGGATGTCATAAGACTTTCACATTCTTTTTAAGCAAAAACCTCTAACGAAGCACAACAAATAATTAAATTGGCAACATATTATTTGTAAATTATTGTGTATGATATTTGGGAGAATGTTCTAAAGAAAACTAGTAATTCAACTTTAATGTTCCTTGTCATCATATTATGCTAGTTTACAATTAAATTTTGCATTCTTATCACTCCTACCTTAACCTCGTATATATACAAAAAATCCTAAAACCTACACAAGAGGACACCGCGTCTATGATTCATATAATCCGACACCTACTTTGTATAAATTTCATGTAGAAGTAAAATAGGTCCACTAGATCATGAGCCACCTACTCCCTATCAGCAATAACCCTGCCTTATAACTGTTGCTATGGATGTCCTAAATCTTGTCTAATATGATAGCTTTGCCAATACCACAAGCAATCTTGACGAAGCTACCTTTTCCATTAATTGTTGATGATCCTATTATTTGGTTCAAGAGCTAGCCAAGTAAATTGACAAAGAAAATACATATATCTTGACATCATGCCCTTTTGTTTTGGCCTTGGCGATTCTTTTCATTTAGTACTCCCTCCATTTTTCTATGTTTGACGCTGGTTAGTTGAAAAATGAACTAGCTATCTTTGTGGATATGAGAATGGAGGTGGTATATATGAAGGTGAGGATTCTTAATCACACAGTGGCAGGCCTAGGAACTGAATGGAGCATGGGTGATGCTCAAGATATAGAGCATGCTCCATGTCTAACAAGGGTCTAACTCTGTACTACGACGGAGGCTGGTTAGTCAACAGGCGTCGAACCCTAGGTTTGCCATTGAATTCATGCAAATATATTGGCATATCCTCAATTTGGGCCAGCACCAAGATATTCCTCTACTACTCATTGTTAATACTTGCATCTATACTAAAAGGGTTACTCTCCCTTTTTTTTTTGACAAAAATACATTGGCATATCTACTGACAATTATCATATGTTAATTTCACTCTATGAAAGCTACTCACTAAACAACACCTGCCATATCTTGTTACCAATAGCATGAACATAGTTGTCCACAATAAAAAATGAACCCTGCTATCTAGACATCTCCTTACACTAGATAAGTTTACTAGCCTATAATGACTTATTTAGAAATGGATTGTCTGCATGCTATCATTTGTTCCTTCCTCAACCTACAAAGCCCTAAACCTACATAATAAGAGGGAAAAATGCAAACATTGGATCTAGTCTAGCATCATCACCGTAGCCCCTACCATTCCATTTTATGTTGTATGGTGTGGATAAACCCCCGATGCTCCCTACCAACAAAACCATGGGCTAAACAAATTTGCTACAAAAAACACTGAGAGGGGCTTGACCTATCTCCTTCTCCCAATTTATTAAGTAAACATCATTTGCACTCCCTGTGCGTAGCACTTCAAGCTCCTTCAAAGGCTACATATGTTCTAAATCTAATCCACTACTCCTGCGACCCTTGCAAACACCATCATTTACCTTTAGAAAGCTACATTTACCATCCCGTTCACAACTAATTGTGGATGGTGATGTTACTTGGACCCAAACCCTAAGTTGATGTTCTAAATTTTTGGACAACAACTTTTGGATCTTTCAAAAGAAAAAAAAATCCCTGGAAGCCAAAAGCTAGAAGCTTACTATTGTAAGCTTTTGTGCTTTGGGCTTTTGAAAAGTCCGAAAGCTAGTAGTCTAAAAGTGATCAAAAGCTCAAAAAAAACCTTAATAAAATCTCATTCTCCACTATTTGTTTTTCATAATCTTTATATGAGTTGAGGGAAGAAAAGTCCCCACCATAAAAAGAAGGGGAATCAGAAAAGCTGGGAAGCAAAACTACCAAAGCCCTAAAAAAGCAAGGGGCTGACCCCTTTTTTGCTAAAGCCGGCGAGGAGGAGCGGCACATGCGCTCTGCTCTCCCTGCGCGCGCGGGCCACTCCCAATATGCTCTCTTTGGGCGCCCGGGCCCACTTGCATCTGTCCCTGGAATCCGGGCCCACTTGCATCCCCCCACCCCAATATGCTCTCCCTGGAAGCCGGGCCCACTTCCATCCCCCACCCCAATATGCTCTGCCTGCGCACCCGGGTCCATTTCGACGCCCCAACCGCGAATCCCCCGCTCCCCAACTATAAAAGCCCACCCTCTCCTCTCTCCGGTCTCCACCAGACCACCACCCACCAGGCAGCGAGCGGGGAGAGCGGAGGCAGCAGCGGGCGCCGCGCCTCCTCCTCCGAGCGGTTTCCGATTCTAGAGGAAAGATGTCCAAACTCCCCAAGCCGCCGCGCCGCCTCGGGCTCGCTTGGTGCAGATCGGGACCCGCCGCCCGGCCGACGGGACGGATCCCGCCTTGCACCAAGTGAATCGGAGCCGGCGCAGCCATACAGCGACCGACCGCCGCCGCCTGCTGCGCTACCGTAGCCTGCTTGTTGCGTGTTTTTATTTTTTCTGATAAGGATCGTGCGGATTGCTGTCGTTCTGCGTCGCCGTGCGGGTTGCTGTGATTCTGTGTCGCCATGCGGATTGCTGTGATTCTGTGTTGCCGTTGGAATTATTAGGAGCCGTGCGGATCTCTGCTCTAGATTAAGCAATCCGGATCTGGATCTGACGCGTAATTTCGGTAGTTTGATCTGATGCGTTGGGTGACGACGTCCTGATTTAGCAGGACCCATGCTTACAGTAGACTGTGCTACTCTGCTTTAATTTTCAATGGCAATTTTCTGTTCCTAAATGAAGTTTCTGTGGTGACATCTTTTGTGGTGCCAGGGAGTCTTGGCTTTGCCTGTGGGGTTGCAAAATTGGCCGGTCATGATGCCCAGTCCTGCCCTGCCCTGATCACGGGGAAACCATGCCTGCTGGATTCAACTGCAGAGAGATTAATTGATTTGACTGCTTTTACTACCAGGGATGTACTACGAGCTCTGTAAGGTAGAAATTATGGCGCTGCGAGCATGCTCAGCATGATACTTCTGAATTGTGATCGACTTTGGTGTAGTGTATGGCACTGCAGGCTTGCTCACATGATACTTGTGAATTGTACATGATCAACTTTGGTGTAGTGTGTAGAATGGTTTCTGTGATAGATGCTAATCATGAAAAGTTGGGTCGACCTGATTGATTGATTCTCAGACGCATCATTGCTGTTAGTGGCTGTGTGCAGGCCACATCAATTGTAGGTTTGTCTTAACTAAAGTAGTATATTCCGAATTGCCGATTACCAAAATAAGCCTAATCGTGGGTCAAATTGGCTACTGGTTTGGGGTTCGCTTTTTCTGAATGTTTATGGACCTACACCATTAAAGCGAATCTGATCGACATGGTATAGTTATTAGGCGGGAAGGGATAGGCATGAAGTTCAAATGCAATCACCAAAAAAAAAAATCTAAATGAAACATTAGTCCAGCTGTAAAAGGAAAAGGAAGTAACAAGGAGCAGATCCTTCTTCCGAGAGGGGATTGTAATTTTTAAGTTTCTGAGCTTTGTAATGTTGCTTGAGGGTATGTGACTAGTCTCATTTACCTTTTTTCCCTTACTGTTGTTGTATTAGCTAACCTTTTATTCCAGTGACACCAAAATAAGGGTTATTAGTCATCGATGCTTAATAGATCACGACAAACTACTAGCGTTGTTTATGACTTTCTTGTGTCATCTAGGCGATTGAAATTTTGGCCCTATGTGACTAAGCTGTTGAATAATGTAATCAATGCATATGCTGTTTATAATGGCACCTTCTCGCTCAATTCAATTGGAAGATTACTATTTTTTTGGCTAGGTAGTTTCTGAAAGGTACTATTCATAGAATCATGGGTTCATTTGATAATACCAACTCTTCTGGTGGCTGGTGGCCATTTCAGAACATCCCGTTCTCTCCAAGAAGTTCCAGTGTTACACTAAAGAATACTTGAAAAGCAATTATGTTGTATGTATTGTACCAGAAACAAAATGGATCTGTATGCTTGATCTTTTTTAGCACGTTTGATGCTTGATGTCTATGCGTAAGTATCAATTTCTGTATATGGGAAATGTTCTGGATGGATGTTGTGACCTGCTTTGTTTGAAATGGTATATTCTATACTAAATTACTTGATAAATGAATAAGCATCCAGATTTGTTCCAACTGTATGTCCATTTATTGATCTAGTTCCGTAGGTAGCTTGCTAGAGTGACTTTTCTCAGTAAACTACGCCCTGTTTAGATCCCACCCAAAATCCAAAATTTTTCAAGATTTCCCGTCATATCAAATCTTGCGGCACATACATGGAGCATTAAATGTAGGTAAAAAGAATAACTAATTGCACAGTTTGTCCGTAATTGGCGAGATGAATCTTTTAAGCCTAAATAGTCCATAATTGGACAATTTTTACCAAATACAAACGAAAGTGCTATAATAGCCAAAAGCCAAAAATTTTCGCATCTAAACGGGGCCTACATTGGTGTTAACTGACTTCCCCTGTTACATACGGCTTCCTATGTGAGGTGATGTAAGTGGAATCCTTTTTGGATGAACTCTAGAGGCTAGAATCTGGTGAAATTGTTGCATGCATGTTTACTATTACTTAGCACCATGACAGCTAGGATTGACAGTGAAAAAACTGTTTCCGGGGTAAACAAGGAATCTGGCTTGTCTGATCTTCAGCTGGAACCGCACGCAGTTTCCAGTCCCCCCAAACCTGTCCAGTTTGATGTGGGTTTTCTGAGTTTATTATTTTCCCTCCAGGTTGAAAGTTTCTGGGGGCAATCCAGAAATCTGGTTTGTTTCGGTTTGTGGGCTTGTGGCTGGAAAACACACCCAAATTTCAGCCCCCAAAACTGGTCTGGGTTTGGTTATGAAATCTTCATATATTTATTTTATCTCACAAGGTTTTTTTGTTTGAGATAGATATTAGAAGAAACTGTTAGCATTTTGGGTCCTGGGACTCTGGGAGGGAATTAGGGGTACCATTATTTCTCACTGGTTTGGCTGAAAAAAGGCCGGGATGGCCAGCAAGTTACCTCACGTTTTCTTTCATTCAACAAGTTAACAGCATGCTTAAGATTTAAGCTAAGACTCATATGATTGAGATTCGAGTTGTCGGATCAGTATCATTATATAGAAATAACCTAGTGCTGTTTTTACTGAAACAGATCCATACAGTGGAAACATGTTGGGCCCCCTTGTTTCAGTGGACATAGTGTTTTTAGCTGCTATTTTCGTCGAAACCAATTTTGTGCACGGACTTTGCACCATCACCTCATCATGATTTTGTGCATACTGCTATATTTATATTTATATTTATATATCTGGTGATGTGTAATGCCCAAGTGGGGTATGGTTCATTTTTATTATGTATATTATATAGGTAATAGGTATGAGAAAGGGGAGTCAGTGATTCGGTGTCGAGGAATATATGCTCGGGGATCAAGATTCTTTTTCCACGAGGAAGAGTGGGGAAGAGACAAACTAGCTGATTGGCACTAGTTGGCTGGCCCTCCATGGCTGGCGTTTGAGCCTGCTCCAGGAAAAGCGGATTCCCTCCCTCCATCCACTCCATAGTTGAGCTGGAGCTGATGAGTGATGAGTGAGCCCCGAGTAAAATTTGTTTACTTTCTAGCGGTTGGAATATTCGGCTAAAGCCACGACAGGCGCCCAGGAGAACATGTTCTGAAAAGCTGTCGAGGAATATAAATTACCTGGGGTCTGACACGCCCTGGATTGACTTGAATGGATGAACAGAAGCAGAGCATGGTGGAATTCCAGCTCTGGGTAAAACATTGCCTGGTTGGTGCCAGAGGTCCAGCTAGCTTGATGAAATTTCACAGTTTTACTGTGTTTATTTATTTGATGACTGAATGCTCTCAGTTATGATGCTTAATTACTAGGAGTAAATTATATTTCATGCTGTTATGATTTCACACTTGGCACTGATCACTGATGAATTTTACTCTCTTCTGTAGAGCGATGAAGGGCAAACGGACCAGCCACTCCACCCTGTTCCGGAGTCGGCCTTTTGTCGTATCCTTGTTGTTGATGATGAATTCAAATGCACTTCCATGTTCCGCTTTGTTTTTGACCCATTCGTCGCGGCCTTTGTCGTATCCTTGTTGTTAATGGTGAATTCAAATGAACTTCTCTGTTCCTCTTTTGTTTTTGAATGAACAAATGGTTCAGTACTCAGTGGCGGGAATATGAAACTGTGTTGGTCTACTGTTGCCGCAGATGAATGAACGCATGATGATCCTGGGAACAGTACAAAACCAGAGCCAGCCAGGGTGTTGGTCGTCGAATACATGACAAAATTGACAAGGACGCGGCACTTGATTGGAGATCTGTACGCAACGCAGCTGTGATGAAACAAACATGGTGGTGGGCTTTAGCCTGGGATCTGGCGGATGGATGACATGCCATGCCGGTCAGCTGATCGAGCTGCCGAGCTGGTGTCCTTTGGCCAGCAGCCGCCGTCCAGTGCGTGAAAAGCCTGGCCGGCCTGCTGCCTGCTGATGCATGGTGCTCGTGCTCATCAGGCAGGCTGCAGGCATGGTCCCCTGCCGACTGCCTCTCATGCAAAAGCTGCTCGCACTCCCGCTCTCATTCGAATCTGTGAATTCCCCTTCGCTTCCGTTCCCTGGGCTGGCATGGCAAGCTATTATTGTCGTCTCTCTGATTGAGAAATGCCGCGTACAGATTTCCCTGTTGGTGATTACTGTGGTCGAGCACCTTCTCTGCTCGTCCTGCGCAGGGTGGCTCCTCTGCTTGTGCGGTGCGGCTGTCTACACCGCCCAGCGAATTGGAGACGGGGGGCTCCTCCGCTCCGAGCAACCATCGGCTTGCGTACAGGTACAGATGTGCTGCCGAAGTGAATGAATACAGGTACAGATGTGCTGCTAAAGTGAATGAATTGTCGAACGTTTGGTGGAAATTCACATGGAAATGTGGAATTGAGTTGATCTGATCTGTTGCTGTTATATTTGATGTGACTTGGTGGAGGACTCGGCCTGCCGTGGAATGGAACAGCTGGTCCAGAGTAAAATATCCTCAGATTCGCAGACCTGATCCACGTGTTCCAGATAAAAATACGTGGAACCGGCTGCATCGCAGAACGACTCACTTCACCTGATGGGTAGTAGCAGTACACTTCACCTAGACGTAGTAGGCTGTTCTCTACTGAAAGTACTGTACATCTGGACGCGGTTCATTTCGCTGAAAAACCAGACTGGCTAAAGTATTGTTCGCTGATTTGTTGTGAGAGAAAAACACCGATAAGTTCAAGCGGACAGGGTACAATCAGGCACGCCAGAATCACAAAGTCTGGCGATGTTCAGGGAGACTTGGCAGTTGGAACCAACCAGAGTCCACAAAATGCACTTGTAAGAGCATAAGCTAACTCCGTTCCAAAATATGTTAGTTGGCGAGACACAAATGGTTCCAAAATATGTTAGTTGGCGAGACATAAATGGGCGTGTTACATGCACATAAATATATACCATCTACAAGAAATTGGCGCGGCAGCCAGGTGTTTACCAGTCCATCTGATGCTAATAAAGTTCTGGAGAATAGAAATAAAATAAAAATGCCCACAGCTAGTCTCCAGCGAATGCCAAGTCTCCCACAGCGTTCTTGAATACTGGGAAGCACGAGAGGACGCTGGTGCGCTGAATTCGCAGAAGCGCATTTGCTATCCACAACCATAGGTGCAGAGTTTCATGGGTCCAGCGGTCAGCTTCATGGGGCACACACACTGGGCAGGAAGAAGAGGATAACTGATCAGCATTCATCTCGCATCAGATGGCTCTCATAAACGTCTCTCATTTACCAAGTGGTTTAATAACTAGCTTCAATAAGCAAATATTATTTGCTTTGGCAGGCCATTCGTCGCTATATACATCACCTGGGTGACAAACAACCCATGGCATTTCCATTGTATCTTGCAGAACTCCACTATACTCCATGCGTGCTACAACAAGTGGTATGCTAACTTCCATAGGTTATAAGCTATGGTAAGGCTGCAAAGGCACCTGTTCAGTTCAATGAGTAACAGGGCAGATGGCTGACAAGCAGGAATCAACTGAATAGGACCTAGAAGTTTACTGGCGGCGAATCAGAGTATTCACCATCGCCATGAAAAGTGGCTCAAATCCGAAACCCACCTACTTTTATTCGTATATAGCCAATGCATTTTGCTAACAAGATTCAGCCTTCTCCATTCTGGGGAGCCTCCCCTGTGGACAAATCATTTACAAAGTTATGGACAAATAATGGGACAATCCTCTCTCTACATATACTACAACTCAGCAGTAAGTAGTAATTGCATAAGTCTCAAACTTAGTGGCCCGCCAGTCATTAATGGTAATATATAGATGAGAACATATGCTAATGAAACTACTAATGATAAATATGAGGAATCGACGGAACTGATACTAACCGTGCATACACTTTACGAAGGTACAGAGCTCCGAGAAGCAAACTTCTCTCTGCAAAAGGAATGGAGGTTGCTGACGGTACGCAAAGAACGCGGCATGGTGACGATCAGGATCATTCCTAGGCTTTGCTGTGTCCAGGATCCGAAATACATTTCACCATTTTGACATGGAAGAGCACTCTCTATACATAGAGATAACCCATGATCCCATGCTGCATTCATTACCTGTGTAGTTTTTTATGTGTATGAAATTAGGCCAAGAAATGCATGGAGTATGCCAATAAAAAAGTTAGAACATCTCCACCTGCCAGGTTAAACCTTCTGGATCCACAAATGCTTCATCATTCTCTTGAAATGTAAACTCAGGTCCATAACAAACGAGCTTAAGAATTACAGAATGCTTCTTGAGCATTCTGAAAACTGGAGAGTATCCATCTCTATTTGTAGGATTGTAGAATCCTGCTGTAAGCTCTGCAGCATGGCTTGCAGTTCTGTACCACCAATAGATAGATGGAACCTGATGAAAGAGGTTTGCATCGTTATGGAACAGCCAAATAGGTAAAAAGATGTCGCAAAATGTGTGCAACAACTGCTGGATTTACCAGGGCAGAAAATTATACCCTGTAAGTTTATACTGCAAAACGACAAAACATCAGGCTAATGCATAGTAACATTTTGACAAAGACGAACAGGCTTGGCTTCTTTTCGGCCTGAGAACCTCTGCGTAATAGCTTCCTTTAATCTATGCATAGCATTCTAATTTCTAATTTGCTTCTTGATATAGTACTTGCAAACTTGTATGGAAAATGTTCTGACTTAAGTTGACTACTGAGTACTACACTATCGTACATCAATTGTGACTTATATAACCTAAATCCTGAGATCCAGGCCTGAGGTAATATTTCTCAATCAATCAAGTTTGACTTGAATTGAGTAACCTAATAAGCAACCTTCACCTAAATCCTTGAGATCCAGGTCTGAGGTAATATTTCTCAACCAACCATTGAGTAACCCATTAACAATCTGCCAGGCAATAAGCAACCTTCAGCTGCTTTAGACACTCAAGCAGGTGGTTCAATACAGAATAAACTAGAAAATTTATGCTAAAGAGGAATCCTTTTTGTGCAGTTTTCTGGGGTCATGAACTAACAGACATTTCAGACAGCAAATATAAAGGATACTTCTGAACGCTAAGGTGCGCTCAACCATAGGGGGACATGATTTCTTGAGAAGCTAAGAACAGTGCTTCAGAGGCCAAACAATAACTATGCAGACCAGCATTACACACCTTCACAACTATTTCTGCTCCATCAAATGCAAGACTAGCAAGCGACAGCACCTGATCCACATGATCCATGAGCACTCCAGAATACCAGTTAAGGAAAAAGCGTCCATAGTAGCTGTCATAATCGCCTCCATCACAAAAAAAGCCAGTTTCATGTGGTCTTGAATTATAATAACCAGAATTATCAGGTCCACGTGCCCAAAACAAATGACCCCGGGACAGTGCTGATTGCCGTAAACTCTTTTGCATGTACCTGTCATAACACTGTCAACGATGGAAATCAACAAAGGAAATGCAGCCAATGGGCCATACGCATTACACTATCACACACCAAATGTGTACTCTTTGAATTTGAGTAGTAATCCAAATCACACACCAGACAGAGTAATCTAATAATAAATCAGACAGACACAGACACGGTGATGTATAACGATTAAATCTGTTGCTGTGTTTAATAACCTGTTTGAAATGTAGTTTTTATTAGCTATTACTTGTTTTAAGAGATTTCTTGTGGGGCATGCCTCTTTATCCAAATGCAAGAACTTTAAGTCCCTTGTAAAAGGACAGCAGCTTAAATGCCCCATTCTTGACATGATGCACCAAAAGCCATGTTGTTATTTAAGAATTACTATGACACAAATACTGAATGCAAACAGGGTTCGTATGTCCAGAACGTAAGAGTTTATGAAGTGGAAAAGATCGATTTAGAAGATTATTCCCAAAAGAAATCCCTTGCAAATTTCAACTTGGTATTTAAGTACAAGTAAATACCTGAAACTCACCAATACCAGGATATTTCCAGCCCATTGTTTCTGGACATGAAGGATATCTTAGCTCCCCTGAAGCACCCAATCCAATTTCGATAGAAGAAACAAGACCCTCTTCAGATAAGTTTCTGAATTCCATATGGAAACTTCTCATGAAATCAAAATAGACCTGCAAATGACCTCATTAAGCCTCAATGTACTAGGCTTTTCTTCATTTAGAGTATGGCATTGAAACAAAGCTAGGTAGAAGGTATGCTAAAGATAATAAGTGTTTTAATACAAGGAAAATGGAAAATGGTTTTGCAATCGTGATGAATTAAATTGTAGGCACCACAGTGCAGAAAGATGGCAAAATAATGAACTAACCAAAGTAATGTAAGGAGAATGGTGCGCCTATTTCTTGTAAAAAGATGAAGAGAGGAGAAAATTTACCAAGGATGACCCAATACCTCAATGCCAGTTCTCCCACGAAGGACTCGTTCTTTGTCAATCCCCCAGGAAAGGCATTCTGTGTTTCTTCTACCTTCGCGATCCGTAAAAAATATATCCTGGTTCTCTTTTGCAATTTCCATGATCCACTTTGGGAGAGAGATTAACAGATCACCAGATCCAGTCCCTCCAGACCCATGAAATGACAATACAACCTTAATAGATGTTTGTAAAAAAACACTAATTAGCCAATATAAGCAGGCCTGGTGAAAAAGGAGAAACAGGAAAGTTTTACCAAACTTTTTTAAAAAGGATATTAATTATTTTACAACATTACACAATGCTTTTGATAGAAAATAATCATATAAACTCAGAAAGTCTAGTTCTTTTACTTCATAGAAATTGGAGGTCATAATTCTTATTACATTCGAAGAATCAAAGTCCCTTATGTTTGCATAGTTTGTAAGAATCTGTCCTCTATAGTTTATAGGAGTTAGGAAATCAAGCATGCAATGATATAACCAATCATCTTTAATAGATGCCTTGTATCCACAACTATAGTTCGATGTCTTACATTTCCAAGTAAACTTCAAAATGACTACTAATGCATGGTAAATTTAGAAAGTATGCCTAACCTGAACTTTCAGCTTGAACTCTTTAATTATACCAAAAAGGTCTCTGTAACCAGACCATTCATACTTCCGAGGAGTCCAGGCTTCCACAATCCCCCACCAACAGTCAACAACAACCCCATCCACGTTCAGAGACTTCAGATGCCTTAGGTCAGCGCGTACACTCTCTGGGTCAACTAACTGGCAGTGACTATTAATAATGCCCATCTGCAGTAAACAGTAATAGCAGGGGCTTGGAATAGGTCACAAATATGGAAATTTTAAGAAACAGATGTCTAACAGACACAATCCTTGCCTTTTCAGTTCTCAAGATTTTTTTTAGCAGCACATAAACTTAATACAACATGTTTGATATTGGCAATACAACTTAATAGAGCAGTCAACAACTAGCAAATCCAGTAAAAAAGTTTCAGAACTCTGACCAGACAATACAAACTCAGTATACAACCATTTTATATATTGATAGTTGTAGATAAAAAATAAACAATTCGACACCACCAGATAATCACATTAGACATCAAATCAAGGACTAAGGAGTTTGCTGGGAACTTACAGGCAGAGAAGCATAAACTGGTATATATGGAGTTTTGGTGTAATCACCGGGGAACACTACTGATGATCTCATTAACTGCTACAGATTCAACAATCAGAGAAACGTTGTCAGTCTAGTGTAGTACGGAGTGACTAATAATGGAAAGGTGCTACAGAAATTGCTTTATGGTGTGACTAGAACACTACTGCAAGCTGAACATTGTGAGCACTAATATGGCTACGACAGTGGCACACAAATGGAAGGAATACGTAAACCCCGAGTCATTGTAAAGAACGATAGGCCTTGAGTCCTATCAGCAAGATGAATTGAAGTATCATCTTATCGTTTAGTGTCAAAACAAAATTGTTTTCATTTGATGTACAGAGACGCGAGATATACTTGATGTACAAAATCAGTTGCTTGAGCAACTCGAAAGAGGATGTTGCAGTAATGACAACTTTTTTTTTATAACACAGTAATGACAACTATTTCATGACAGTATATGAGCAGATCGGGTTTATTCCAACACAAGATGTAGGTCACCTGATCATTGTCCATACAGTTGAGAGAGCTGACTGAACTGGAATTCCCGTAGTTCTCAGTCTTTATACTTCGGTCTGCCACAACTGAGTCCAGTGAAGATGGTGACAGACTGTCATCTGTTTGTAGGGCAGATGCCTGAGAATCTAATGGTGTTCCGATGGCATAACTGCTCAGAGTGTTGAGTAAAGCTGGGTTTTCCACAGAAGCAACCTGAAACACTCCATGCTGCAAGTAGCACCAATTACAATCTGTTAGGATAGCAATGCATGGATTATAAGCAGGATACTAGTACAGCGCTAAAATTAGCAGGCCGGTATGTAATTTTACTAGACAAAATTGAAGTACTACTAGTAAACAGAGGCAACAAAGGAGAGTTGGGAGGGAGCAGGTGCACGGACCAGCTGGGGAGGAGGTGGAGGCAGGAGTGGTTGGTTGGAGGAGCGGAAGGTGGTGCCGTCGGGTTGCACAGTCCAGCCGGCGGCGCGGGCGAGGGCGGCGAGGACGTCGTTCATGTCGGCGCGGGCGGGGAGCGGGAAGTTCCCGTGCTGCCGGAGCCCGGCCAGCATGCGGCTAGTGATGGCGCGCCGGTGCCGCTCCCGCATCTTCGTCCGCTCCTTCTCCAGCTCCCGCTCCCGCTCGCCTCGCCTCCGCGGCGAACCCCCGCCGCCGGCGCGGGAGCGGAGGCGAACCCGCGCGGCCGCCTCTGCGGCGGAGGGGACGGGGACGGCTCCCCGTCGCGCTGCGGCGGGTGCTTCATGGCCCTGGGTCGCTTCCACCCGCCGGCGCCGGCGCCGATCTGCGGCCGCGAGCTAGAGGCGCCACATGCCCGCAACCGCAAGCTGCTGCGCTGCGCCGTGGAGTGGGCTCCTTCCAACAGCAGTTTGACCGCTACCGGAGTGGATCCATTTTGCCACGTGTGCGGTCGATCACGGCCGTTAATTACAGATCGAACGGTGCACCTCGCATGTGATGGAGAACAGAGCAGTGTAGTGTGAACAGAACAGCACAGCAGCTTCCCGTCTTTACTACCCGGCCGCTTCCTCTCTGATGATGAGGCTTCCGAACATGCTAGGAGCCTTCCAGAACCTTCGGCGTCTGCGCTGCTGGCCCCACCGCGCCTCACTTCTCCTCCACCGCTTCTACACCCGCGCGCCGCGGCCACCGCCGCCTCGTCACGCGGGCGACATCGGCCGATGGAACCGTGCCATAATGGCGCATTTCCGCGCTGGCAGGGTCGGGGCGGCGCGCCGGGTGTTCGACGAAATGCGCGAGCGGAACGTGTTCACGTGGAACTGCATGATCTCGGGCCTGGTCAGGAACGGGATGCTCGCCGACGCGCGCGGGGTGTTCAACGCGATGCCGTCCAGGAACTCCGTCTCGTGGGCCGCGCTGCTGACGGGCTACGCGCGGCGCGGGAGGGTGGCCGAGGCCAGGGAGCTGTTTGACCGGATGCCTGACCGGAATGTGGTCTCATGGAACGCAATGATCTCTGGTTACCTGCGGAACGGGATGGTCGACAGGGCGCGTGAGCTGTTCGACGTGATGCTCACGATGATCTCTGGGTATATGAAGAGGAAGCGGGTCCGTGAAGCGAGGGAGATCTTTGACTGTGTGCCTTTGCCGCCGACTTCAGTGTGCAATGCTTTGCTGTCTGGTTATGCCGAACATGGTTACTTGAAGGATGCAGAGACCGGACCTTGTTTCTTGGAATGCAATGATCACAGGATACACACGGGCTGGGATGATGCAGGTTGCACGGAGACTCTTTGATGAGATGCCTGAAAAGGATACTGTATCTTGGACAGCCATAGTGCGTGGGTATTTACAGAATGGTGATGTTGATGCTGCATGGAAGGTGTTCCAGGACATACCTGATCGTGATGTCCTTGCTTGGAACACAATGATGGGTGGTTTTGTGGTGAGTGAGAGGTTGGATGATGCATTGAGATTGTTTGCTGACATGCCTGATAGAGATCTGGTATCATGGAATACAATCTTACAAGGATATGTCCAACAAGGAGACATGGAGAGTGCTACTACCTGGTTTAGGAGAATGCCTGAGAAAGACGGGACGTCATGGAACACATTTATCTCTGGGTACAAAGGTGAAGGAGCACTAAGTTTGCTGTCCGAAATGACCCGAGGAAGATATAGACCGGACCAGGCCACTTGGAGCATGGCTATTTCTATTTGCGCCTCTCTTGCTGCTCTTGGGTGTGGAAGAATGGTGCACGTTTGCACGATCAAAACCGGCTTTGAGCATGATGCTCTGGTGATGAGCTCATTGATATCTATGTACTCCAAGTGTGGGCTAATTACTGAGGCTTCCCAAGTTTTTGACCTGATTGTGCAACGGGATACAGTGACATGGAATGCCATGATTGCGACATATGCTTATCATGGTCTAGCTGCTGAAGCTCTGACACTCTTTGACAGGATGACCAAAGATGGGTTTAGCCCAGATCATGCAACGTTTCTGAGTGTGTTGTCTGCTTGTGCACACAAAGGGTATCTATATGAAGGCTGCCACTATTTTAGAAGTATGCAACAACATTGGAACTTGATTCCAAGATCTGATCACTATTCGTGCATGGTTGATCTCTTAGGAAGATCAGGTTTTGTTCACCAGGCTTATAATTTTACCAGAAAAATCCCTTCCAACCTTCAAATAAATGCATGGGAGACACTGTTTAGTTCATGCAATGCTCATGGGGATATCCAGCTTGGGGAACTCGTAGCAAAAAATGTTCTTCAGTCGAGACCTTCTGATGGAGGAATGTATACACTCTTGTCAAACATATATGCTGCAAAGGGATGTGGAGCAGTGCTGCTAGTGTTAGAGGTCTCATGAAAGAACAGGGGTTGAAGAAGGAGACTGGGTGTAGTTGGATTGAGCTGAAGGGGGACGTTGTTTTCTTCTCATCAAATGATAATGCACATCCTTTGATTGAGCAGATATGCCAAGAAGTTGATAATCTTTCTATTTTGATAGAAGAGGCAAGTTAATGGCAACATCCTTTGACATGGTTATCAAAAGGAATTCAGATGGATTCAAACATTGATACATGGTAGTAGCGATGAATGCTCGAATTGAAAGCCTTTGGAGGAATTACACAGTGATGGTTTGCTGGAGCTCAGTCTTCTCTTGTGGATATTCCTTCAAGATCACAATCAAGGAATTCAAAACAGCATGATGGTGACATCCTTTGGAACCCTGGTGTCTGGCTAAGCGAGTCAATGTGAGGTAATGGACCCTCAAACCAGATCCTTTCAGTAGAATTTATCCTACTATGGGCCATTGGGACTCAGAGTTGGTGATTGATATTTTCTCTGAAGATGAACCTGAACAAATTTGGCCATGCAAGATGATTGCTTGGTTGCCTGACTCAAGGGTATTTTTCAGTAAAATTGGCATACAAATTAGGCATACAAGTGCAGGATCAGAGGGCAGCGAGAAATGCTTCATCTTCAAGTCACTCTGATAATGCTACTGTTCAGTGGTTTTTATATGGAACATACATGCACTAGATAATTTAAAAAATGTTCTTATTATTGATTACTCCAAAATAGTTTACTTTTGAGGAGCAATATCAAAAGGCCTGGTGTTAAACTAGCGACATTGTACCTGACCTGCTAGAGGATGGATAAAGATGGAGTGCTTGCTGGTGACATCGCATTTAGAAGAGCTGAGGTGTCTGTTAATGCGGTGCTTAATAGCTAAGGAAGTTGTGCTGATGGGAGAGGAAGCAGAAAACCAGCTTAGGATCTTGGTTCTCATGTTGATGCAGTGCCAGAGAAGAAATAAAATAAACTCTAAAGGAAGAATGCAAGTACAAACGAAATTCTGCAAAGTCGGTGGTTAATGGAATTGATTTTCCATCTCAAGTAACAGTACCAATTGATTTTTTTTTTCAGCTAATCTATATATTTTTTCTGAGAAGCTGTTACTTATATCCTAATTAATCAGAATTTTAAAATATGCAGGGCTGGGGAAAAGTCTACTTCTTATGAGCTGAGCAGCATGTTCACACAATCATGTAACTGTCAGTAACAGACAAGATGGTCCCCACCACAGCAACTGGAGAGCACACAGTAAGGCCCCACAAAGACATTGCTATCCATTTTCCCTTTAATATTTGCACACCTTCTCTTTTCTCTCACCCACACTCCTTCTCCCCACCCCAGTTCCCACGCACATATCCGTCCACACACAGAATCCATGGCCATGGCAACCATTTATGGCTCCATGGCTAACCCTCCAATTACCTCCACAATTCCCTTTCTCAATAAACAAGTACACTGCCCCAGACAAACTATATATTTTGTTCTTTGCTTACTTTTTGTTTTTAGCCTTTCTTATTCTTTTTCTTGGTTTCTTAAAGGCCTCTAATTGGATACCTGCTACAATCAGCAATGGCACTGGTGGTATGTTCACTGTGGCAAGCAGAAATTCGAGAAATGGGTTCCAAGTTCGTGCTGTCACTGGAGACCCGGGCTCTCGCAATGTGTCTGATGTAAAGTTCCCAACTGATTACACAGAACTTCTGATGCAGGTAATTGGTGGAGAACTCGAAATTCTTGAATATCAACTGGGGGTAGGGTCCCCACTTAACTTTTCATTTATAATTTGTGTCTCAAGTATGTGGGCTTGAGTTTTCAAGAAGGCAAGTTATTTAACAGCAATTTCTTTTAGATATACTCGTGATGCCATTTAACTATCAAATGACAAACTGTTATGGGATTTGTTATGGCCGTGAGCCAGGTCGCAGGTTAAGTTAGGAACAAGTCAAATAAAGGATTGATATGGTTGGCAGAAACCAACAAGGACAGAAAAATCTAAAGTGTCTGGTTTATAGGAAATAAAGGATTTAAGGAATAGGTTTATTTTTGAGTTGTAATTAGATTAGATTCTAGTTAGAAGAATCAATCTATTAGAAGTCTTAGGGGTCAAGTCTTTCCCCTCCATATATCAGTAATGATTAAGCAGAGTTATGGGAATTCTCCCCACTGCCTTTGGCTCAACCGGCCTCCCCCTTCTCCTTCTCACCAACAGCCTCCGCTGCGGCCTCTTTTCCTCTCCTCACGCGCACTGTTCATCCACGGTTACTGTTCACATGCCGATTACTGTCCCCTTGTCCTCCCTGGGCTCTCTTCCCCCAAGTGAACATCTGACAGATTGGTACTCAGGCCTAGGTGCTTCTGCTGCAAAACGAACTGATGTGAAGTTAACAAATCAGATGGAAAACTATGGCTTATATAATGTGGAATTTCCAGAATTTGACAATAAAATTATGACGTCACGGACGACAAATATTTTGGGAAGGATGCGTCCACACCATTCCATCTTCATTCCTGTTAGGGAGATAACAATCCCCAAATCAAACATTCTGACAGAGATTATCTAGTGAAGAAAGTGATGAGATTTGTTAGAAAATTAGAGACAGAGATAAGTCTGGATCCTGTTGTAGTAAAGGTTTAGTTTCTTATGTGTCAAGTTGGTCCTCCCTATATATAAAGGGACCTTGGGAATCAAACAATGAAATAAACAAGTTTTGAACAAGGCTGATCAGTCTCCTGGCATTCAAGAGAGACCCCATGTCGATGAGAGCGATCTTGCCCTTTTCCGGTCTTCAAACCCTTACCCTAGCCAGTACCTTATTATTTGGCATCACATAGCCACTGTTCCTTCTGCCGTCCACCTGCTACAAATTTCCACCATCGTTGTTTCCCCTGTATCCCTTGCATTTGAACTGTACCTTTCAGAATCTCAGATGACAGCAATTGTTCGCACTTTGGGCCATGCTTATTTGAAATTTTGAAAAAAAAAACTAGATAATTGGATGACTAATGGGATACACCTGTAGTGATTTCAGGCTAAAGAAGCTGCTGAATCAGCTTTTAAGGATGGAAAGAAGCTTCTGGTTAGCTTCAATCTGATCTTTTAATTGAATTCTGTTACTTTTTGTTTGTGTCAACTATTAAGAGGTTGTGATGCAACATATACAGGAAATCGAGTTCCCTACAGCTGGACTACAAACCGGTGCCAGGTTCGAGTTCGTGACCTTTTGTGTACCTACTCCCTCTGATTCTGAACATAAGTTGGTTTAGACTTGTGCATATGAACTAAGAAAATATTGAAGTGACTTTAATTCCCTGCACTTATTACACATTGCAAAAGATACCCCACTCATGGGAGGTGATACCATTCAGTTAACAAAGGCATAAGGGTGAAAACGGACAGTTGCCTAGAAACTCTGATGATTTACACTTAAAGAGTATGAAAGTCTAAGACGACTTATTTCAATTTGGAGGGTGTACCCAGGTTCTACTTCAGTGAACTCTTTAGTTTGTTTCTATTCTTACTTTTAGGTGATGGCGAAGGAGGAAATGAGATGACTGGAAGCATGCTTCTTATTAGAGAATTTTGTGATCGCTTTGTACCTGCAGAGAAAGCAACTCGAACCATAGTAGTATGTCCTTATCAGGATTTTCTAGTCATTAATATTTATATTTATGAATGATTACTGCATCATTTAGAAATTCTGGAATAGCAAAAGGCAGAGTTATGCATGGTTTACCCTTGCAACTTTTATTAGAGATTAGTACAGGTAGATGTACTAGTTATGCCCCAACTCTTGGTTGATCCCATTGTTCATATCTCACGTGTTTCAGTTCTTCCCTGAGGCAAATGAGGTTTCTTTTGCAAGACAATCAGCCTTTGAAGGATGTTTGCTGAAGCTAGATTATCTTACAAAACCATCCTTATACGAAGATTTTGGTTTTACAACAAAAGTCAAAATGGCAGATCGTGTCAAACCAGAAGATGAGACATTCCTTGTGGCTTATCCTTACTTCAATGTCAATGGTTTGCATTCTCCCTTTTGCTTCAGTCTGAGATATCCCCTCCATTAGTACTTGAGATTTCCATTTTAGTAATTGTTGATCCCTGGCTGCCCTGCACAGGTAAGCAACTAGCTTACCAGCACACACACCCACTCACTATGGCTAGAGGTAGAAGAAGAGATTGAGAGCAGCGCACACACATACTCAGCACAAGCACCAGCGTTGGCCGAAGCCCTGCCCTTTGGTTTGTGGCAAATGAACTAAGTATTCCATTGTCCTTTGGATGGAATATATACAACTCTAGCTGTACCTCTACCAGGTACATAGTTGTTGGTCTACTACCTACTCCTGAGTACAAGAGTACACCAACTACCTACTCCTAAGGTACAGGGTATACCAACTACTCCTAGCAGTACAAAGCTTACCTCAGCCCACTACCAAGACATGGCTGATGTAATAGCTACCAACTAATGTACTAGAGGTGGCCTATTGCAATACTGTTACAGCTACAGCAGTCCCTAACTCCCAACAGGGAGTGGTTGGCCGAGCCGACCAGTCTCAACCAAGGAGAAATGGGGAGCAGCAGATTATGTCTAACAATTCTTCCCTTAATCCTGCTGCTAGCCCGATGCCTTGACCTCATCTATGCCAATCATCTTTCTCAGCTCCATGAACCGCAGGCGTCTGAGTGACTAGGTGAGGATGTCAGCGAGCTATCTGCCGGTCTCGACAAACCCGATGACGATCTGCCCTCCATCAATGCAGTCCCGGAGGAAGTGGAACTTGATGTCGATGTGCTTGCTCCGGTCGTACAGGACAGGGTTCTTGGCAAGGGCGATGGTGGGCTGGTTGTCCACCATCAGAGCTGGCGGGTGAGCTTCCTCGCCGGTCAGCTCGCCCAGCAGCCGGCGTGGCCAGACAGCCTGGCACGCCGCCGTGGCCGCTGCGACGTACTCCACCTCACACGTCGACAGCTCCACGATCTTTTGCTTCAACGACTGCCAAGCAATGGGGGCCGCTCCAAAGAAGACGAGCACGCCGGTGGTGCTTCGTTGCCTATCAATGTCGCCCGCCATGTCCGCATCGCTGAAAACAGTGAGCTTCGGCTCACCTTCCTTTGCCTTGGGGGTGCCTCACTGAACACCGTGAGCCGCAACCCTCCCTTGCTGCCACTCTTGGGGAAGATGATCGCTTGATCGAGCGTCCCCTTGACGTAGCGCAGCAACCTTTTCACTGCCGACTAGTGATCTTCACGTGGGTCCTCCATGAAACGGCTGACGTACCCAACCGCGAACGCAATGTCCGGTCGGGTATGAGTGAGGTAGCGCAGCCCGCCGACGATACTCCGGTAGCGCGTCGCGTCCACCTTCGCAGCAGTGCTGTGCTTGCTCAGCTTCAGCCGCTCCTCCATCGGAGTCGTGCACGGCTTGCACTCCGCCATGCCGCCGCGCTCCAGCAGCTTCTTCGCGTAGGTGCGCTGACCCAGGGAGATGCTCTGCTTCCCCTGCTTCACCTCGACGCCGAGGTAGTAGGAGAGCGCGCCGAGATCGCTCATCTTGAAACGAGCCGCCATCTCACGCATGAAACCGTCGATGTCCTCTGCTCGCGGTCCGGTGACAATTAAGTCATCCACGTACACACCGACGACGAGCTCCTCCTTCCCCCGTCGTCGCGTGTAGAGCGTGTGCTCTGTAGCGCAGCGAGTGAACCCAAGCTCGCCCAAGGTGGCGTCGAGCTTGGCGTTCCACGCCCGAGGGGCCTGCCGCAGCCTGTAGAGCACCTCGCGCAGCTTGAGTACCATGTGCTTAGCGCCCTTGACGGCGAAGCCCGGAGCTTGCTTGACGAAGACCGTCTCCGCGAGCTCGCCGTTGAGGAACGCAGACTTGACGTCGAGGTGGTGGACACGCCAATCCTTCGCTGCTGCCATGGCCAACAGTAAGCGAACGGACTCCATTCGCGCCACCAGAGCAAAGACTTCCTTGAAGTCGATGCCCTCACGCTGCACGAAGCCACGAGCGATGAGCCGATCCTTGTACTTGACAATGGCGTCGTGCTCGTCCCGCTTCACCTTATAGACCCACTTCAAGCCGATCGGCCTGCAGCCCATCGGTGGATCTACCAGCTCCCATGTGTCATTGTCCTCGATGGCCTTCATCTCTTCCAACATCGCTCGTCGCCAACTGACGTCACGTTCAGCCACTGCGAATGTCGGTGGCTCCTCAGCACTAACAAGGAGCAGCTCTGGATCGTCGAGCAGCTGACTCGCCAGGCCTGTGGCCCCTACATTGCCGACGATGTTGTCCAGCCTGCGGAACCGGACCTCCTCGACGTCGTGGAAGGCATCCACGAACTCGCTGATGTCGCTCGAAGGGGAGGTGAACTTGATCGGTGGTCCCCGGCCGCCAGCTTCCCCCGTGCCCAGACCGTCCCTAGTCCCAGGCCGCCTTCTCATCGAACACCACATCCCTAGAGATCACCACATTGCCTCTCTTGGAATCATAAAGCCGATAGGCCTTGCTGCCCTCCTCGTAGCCCACGAGCACCATCGGCGTGCTCCTGTCTTCCAGCTTGCCGAGGTGAGGCTTGGTGTTCTTCACATGGCCGACGCAGCAAAATGTCCTGAGGAAGGACACATTCGGCTTGCGTCCATGCCAAGCCTCGAACGGCGTCTTGCCCTTCAGGGCCTTGGTGGGCGCACGGTTGAGGATAAACACCGTTGTGGTCACCGCCTCTCCCCAGAACTCCGCCGGCATCTTCTTAGCCTTCATCATGGATCCAGCCATCCTGACCACCGTCTGGTTCCGCCGCTCCACCACACCATGCCTCGATCCATGCGATGACGCAAAGAAATTCCACCGACGTGAATTCGCCGCGGCCGATCGATTCGCGACCTGTGACTTCTTGCCGCTCTCTGCCTCTGCGTGCTCCTTAAACTTCTTGACCGCTTCCGCCGCCTCAGTCTTCTTTGGTGGAAGCTGCCCACATGTGTACTCGCCATCCATCCACCAACAAGATGAAATACTACACCAGCACCAGCGGCGTCGCCGGCATGATCATGATCGGCCCGCAGGTCATCATGGACCAGCTCGAGGGTCTTTGCCGCGCATGATGATTGCGTCGTCTTCGGAATGGCAACCTTCTTTGCTTTCCGGCCAGTAAAGCACCATACGGGCATGCACGGCTTCGCTGCGTGCTCGATGTGAAACAACCCTTGGTCACCATCTTCTCCGGTAGACCAAGAAGCGTCGGCCGAGATGTCCATCACCGGGCATGCCACGCCCACGGCTCCTCCATGCGCCAATGTCGTGATGCTTGAAGCGAGATGGGATGGTATGCTCCACCTTGAGGTCAAGCGAGTGCAGCCGATTCCACCTTTGAACCTCTTCACCTTGGCAAGCCGCCGCTTGCTCTCGGGTCCCGATCCCGAGGACGTCGTCCTTGATCGAGTCGAGTACACCACACGCCGCGCGCTCATCCGGTTGACCAATGTTGATGATGCTTGAACGCAGCCTTCTACGGGATGTAATATACATCGGCTAGCGCCTCAGCGTCATGCTCGCTGCCGTCGACACCTAAAGATGATGGTGTCGTGCCCTCGGATCGTCACCTTTGAGCCATTCACCGAACTTCACCGCTGCGTCGGTCCACGTGTCGCTTAGCTTCGGAGAAGGCTTTCGTTGGAGCCTCCGCTCATGTGGTTCTTTGGCGTCGGAGTCCAGTACCACCGCTCGCCTCTTCCTCGCCACCCACACGTCCGAGGTGGACTTAGACGCTTGCGATTACGCAAGAGGTTGACTTGACCTTGAAGCCTTCCTGCCCTTTCCACCGCCATCCCTCTCTCCCTTCTCCCTTGGCCTCAACGTGCGCGGCATGCGGTGCACATAACGCCGCCATCGGAGAGTGGCCTCATCATCATCATCACCGCGCCAAATGAGCCTCGCCTCCCTTCTTCTCTAGCTTGCGATTTGGGCACTCCTTTGCCCAATGGCCCGTCTTTCAGCCGCCGCTTGCGCTTAACCTTCATGGTCACCAGCGTTAGTTGGTCGACCTTCTTCTTCTTCTCCAAAGAAGCCTTGCCTGCGGTGCTTTGCCATCGCCATCGCCATCGCCACCCATGTTAGTCCGGAGGAGGCTTCCCGGACTTCTTCTCCTTCATCTTACCAAGCACCCTCACTCTATGTCTTATGTCGAGATTGACTTGCCGCTATCCGTTGTTGCTTTGTGGCAAATGCTCCATGAATATATATAACTCCACCTCCCTCTCT